CCCACCTCGACAGACGTTTCTGGCTTGACCGGCGCGATGTTCCCCCAGTACACAGTCAACTGCAGCACCTACAACAGCAGCAGCTGCTTCTCCCCGCCTTCCCTGGGCTTCTTCTGTCTCTCCAACGGCACCACACTGAAAACCGTGTGTCAGGCCTCGGAGGCTGTGTGCAACTCGTGAGTGTAAAGGGTGGCTTGGATTTTTTCTTTCTTTTTTTTTTGTTGTTGTTGTTGTTGCTTTTTGTGTGTTTTTATGTGTGTGTGTGTGGGGGGGGGGATTAATTTTAAAAATTCAAGTAACGCCCTTGATGTAAGCAAATATCCTAGATACCAAGACAACAATATGGTTCATTCATCCCCCTAAAAAAAGGAAGGTCTGCGTCCGCGAAAATTCTCAGGTGGCACCCCCGGTGATTTTGAGGACGCATTTATTTAGTTGCTCAAAGAGAGGAGTGGACTATCTTGAAGTATGCGTTCTTTGATGGAAGCCTCATGCAACTTGAGCATTAATCAATAGTGATATTATTATCATTGCGTAAACCGGTGTTCCTACTATATAGCATATATTATACCATCACATTATTCTTCGGACATGTCGTACATGCCGCGATACAGCTGAGTGTCAAAGTCAAAGGGTGTACTCATGTTGCAATTAACTTCTATAATATAGTGCTGTCAAACGTTTGTGGTGGAACTTATCCTCAAATATCTCTTTAACCTGGTGAGTCAATCATCCATACTTTGAACAGCAGTTTGCATTAATTCGTCTCAAACTAATCTTATTTTTCCACCTCAATTGAGGATAGATTTTTTGAAAAAAACCTGCTCTTCATAAATTTATGAACAACTATAAATCTCCGCCTCGCGGAGAATGGGAGTCCATGTTTGCAGCAGTTCCTGCTTCTCACATGCTTTTTGTGTAACAGCTCACCAATGACACTTCTTAGTGGCAAAACTTGTTACAAGAAATTCATTTTATAGTGAACACCTTTTCGCACTTAAATTCTCAAAACATGAGTTCAATAAACATTATGTCGCGTTTATATATACACGTATTTTTCTTAAAGACGGACATGCTTGGTGATGTTGTTCCCAGCTGTAAACCTTATAAATCGATAGAAAACTTCCAGTGGGATTTTAAATAAAATTTTCTAGAATACAGGTAACGTAGTTTACAAAAATATTGATCTGTTAGAACAAATTAATACAAGTCATTGTAAAAAAAAGCTGGAGACTTTATGTTCGATAGTTGAAGAAATATTTGACAGTACGTTGTGCTAAGAATTTTTCACCGCAATAAATCATATTTTTCTCTGTGCCATTAAAAAAAGCTGGTTTCTAAGCTGCAGAAAGGCAATTCTTACGATGGCTCATTCCAATAGGTAGCCATTGCAGTGTACTTAAAAGAGGTGAAATAAATGTCATCAATCGTTTGGGTGTTGTTGTTTTTTTAAGAATTAAAAAAAAATTACATGGGGGTTTTTTTTGCTCGATCAGTTGTTGCGAGAGTACCTGTGTGTGTGTGTGTGTGTGTGTGTGTGTGTGTGTGT